CGTCGTCGGCGTCGTGGTCGTCGTCGCTGTCGCCGTCGTCCATCATCGTCGTCGTCGTCGTCGTCGTCGTGGTCTTCGTCGGTGTGGTTGTCGTCGTCATCGTCGTCGTCGACGTCGTTCTCGTCTTGGTCGTCGTCGGCGTCGTGTTCGTCGTCGTCGTCGTCGTCGTCGGCATCGGCGTCGCGTGGTCGTCGGCGTCAGCGTCGTCGTCGGCGTCGTCGTTGCGTCGGCGTTGTGGTCGTCGTCGTCGTGGTTGTCGTCGTCGTCGGCGTCGTCGTCGTCTTCGTCCGTCGTCGTGGTCGTCGTCGGCGTTGTCGTCGACGCCGTCGTCGTCGTGGTCAGCGTCGACGTCGTGGTCGTCGTCGGCGTTGTTGTCGTCCTCGTAGTCGTCGTCGTCGTCGTCGCCGTCGTCGTCGTCGTCGTCGTCGTCAGAATCGTCGTCGTCGTCGTCAGAATCGTCGTCGTCGTCGTCGTTCGTCGTCGTCGTCGTCGTGGTGGTCGGTGTGGTCGTCGTCGTCGTCGTCGTCGTCGTCGTCGGGGTCGTCGTTGTCGTCGTCATGGTCGTCGTCGGCGTGGTCGTCGTCGGCGTCATCGTCGTCTGCGTCGTCGTCGTCGTCGTCGTCGTCGTCGTCGTCGTCGTCGTCGTCGTCGTCGTCGTGATCGTCGTCGGCGTTGTGGTCGTCGTCGTCGTTCATGGTCGTCGTTATCGGCGTCGGCGTTGTGGGCGTCTTCGTCGTCGTCGGCGTCGTGATCGTCGTGGGCGGCGTCGTGGTCGTCATTGTCGGCGTCGTGATTGTCGTTGTCGTCGGCGTCGTGGTGGTCGTCGTCGACGTCGTGGTTGTCATCTTCTTCGTCGTCGTCGTCGGCGTCCGTCGTCGTCGTCGTCGGTGTCGTCGTGATCGTAGTCGTCGTCGTGGTCGTCGTCGGCGTCATCGTCGTCGTCGTCGTGGTCGGCGTCAGTGTTGTTGCCGTCGTCGTCGTCGTCCGCGTCGTGGTTGTCGACCTAGTTGTCGTTGTCGTCGTCGTCGTTGTCGTCGTCGTCGTGGTCGTCGTCGTGTCGTGTGCCGTCGTTGTTGTGCGTCGTGCGTCGTGCGGGTCAGGTGGTCGCGGCTGCTGCCGCGCCTCACGGCGCGCCTGCGGCAGCTCGGCGCGGAGCGGCCGCTGCTCGCGATCTCCATCGGATGGGCGCCTTTTCCACCAGAACCACCACCACGGATAGGACGGGGGGGGAGAGGCTGGGGAGGTCCTCCTCCTCCTCGCTCCTCCTCCTCCTCCTCGCTCCTCCTCCCCCTCATCCTCCTCCTCTTCCTCCTCCTCCTCCTCCTCCTCCTTCTGCCCGCGGTAGCGGTGGTGGGAAATCGGCCCGTCTCCATCGGCGCTGACGCGGCTGCGGCCTGCCGCGGGCTGGCCGCGGGCGGCCGCGCGGGGCCGGCCAGCACGGTGTGCTGGGTGCCGGACACGCAGTCGCAGGCCCGCCCTCGGGAGACATTTGCGCACCGTCGGGCCGAGGCACGGTTCGGCGAACATGCACACATGCGGCCACCCGCTCGCCCCGCCGCCCCCTCCTCCTCCTCCTCCTCCTCCTCCTCCTCCTCCTCCTCCTCCTCCTCCTCCTCCTCCTCCAGTCCTCTCCTTTTTTTAGTAACATCTCGCTGTCGCACCCCGGTGCCAGCTTTTAGGGCGGGCCGGGCGTTTCGCCTGAGACTCCATCACCGCTTATGACCCTGAAGATTTAAATTACACTTGAGAAAACCAACTCAGTGGATGATTTGAAAATTAGTCATATGGATCTTGAGATCGATTGTGAGATCGATCATGAGATCGATAGTGAAATCGATAGTTGACGATTGTAAGGTCGATCGTGAGACCGAGAGTGAAATCGATTCAATGAGATCGATTCGGAGATCGATCGCGAGATCGCTCGTACGATCTCTAGTGCGATCGCTTGCGAGATCGATTGTGAGATCGATTGTGAGATCGATAGAGAGGTGGGAAATGAAATCGATGCTGAGACCGATCGATAAGAAGATCGACCAGGAACCCGGGAACCCGGGAACCTGGGAACCTCGCCGCCCACCGAAATCGGCCCGGAAACCGGGAACCCGGGATCCCAGAACCTGGAACCCGGGAACCCGGCCGCCCACCAAAATCGGCGTGAAACATTCGCCTTCTCTTTCAATATCCGCTAGGACCCCTTCAGTGCAAGCACTGATTGGGGAACAATGACAATTTCACAAATTGAGGGCGGGTGGTTTTCAAAGTGTGGTTCTCGCCTTAGCGCCGCTCGCATTCGGTTTAAAACATTGCAAGAGCTTCACGGGTTAAGGGCGGGTCAATTAAAACATGGTTTTCGCTTTAGCGCCGCGCACATTCATTTCACAACTTCGCAAGAGTTTCACCTATTGGGGGCGGGTGGTTTTCAAAATGTGGTTCTCGCCTCAGCGCCGCGCACACCCGTCTAAAACATTCAAAAGAGCTTCACGGATTGAGGGCGGTTCCTTTTCAAAATGTGGTCCCCGCTTCAGCGCCGCGCGCATTCGTTTTGAGAAATTGCAAGAGTTTCGCGGATTGAGGGCGATTATTTTTCAAATTGTGGTTCTCGCCTCAGCGCTACGCACATTCGTTTTCAACATTAGCAGGAGATTCACGGATTCCCGTGATTAGCACAGCAACAGTTGTCTTCTTGGAAGGGTTCAGGATTCTGAGGGCGCAACTGTCACGTTGATTCGCTGTATTGAGGTCTCGGGAATGGTGTTCTGGCACGATTCAAGATCGTCAAGGCGCAACAGTCAGGTTGATCCGTGGCTTTGGAATCCCAAGAACATTGTTTTGGCATGCTTCAGGGTCTTCGAAGGGTTGTCTTCCAAAGAGGCAGTGTCTTCAGTGGAAATGAGCCGTCGGAGGGGCCTGCGAAGAGGGAGCTTGGAGGGAGGGTTCATTCCAACGTCGTTGATGACTCTTGGGCTTCCACTGGTCCTCCTCCTCCTCCACCTCCTCCTCCTCCTCCTCCACCTCCTCCTCCTCACCCTCCTCCTCCTCCTCCTCCCCCCCCTCCCCCTCCCCCTCCTCCTCCTCCTCCTCCTCCTCCTCCTCCTCCTCCGCCGCCTCCTCCTCCTCCTCCTCCTCCTCCTCCAAGGTCCGGCTGTAAGCCATGCTGAGCTTCCCCCCCTCTGCCGCGCCGAACACGAACGTGCCCACGCGCGGCCACCCGCGGGGTCGGGGTCGCTTCGGGGAGGGCGCCCTGCCTCCAGACATGGTCGCGTCGTAGGAACATCGGACGGTGTCTGGCCTCCCTCCTCCCTCCTTCCCCTCCTCCACCCTCCTCCTCCTCCTCCACCTCCTCCTCCTCCTCCTCCTCCCTCCTCCTCCTCCCCTCCTCCCCTCCTCCTCCTCCTCCTCTCCTCCTCCTCCTCCTCCTCCTCCTCCCCTCCTCCTCCTCCTCCTCCTCCTCCTCCTCCTCCTCCTCCTCCTCCTCCTCCTCCTCCCTCCTCCTCCTCCCCTTCCTCCTCCCTCCTCCCTCCTCCTCCTCCCTCCTCCCTCCTTCCTCCTTCCTCCTCCTCCTCCTCCTCCTCCTCCTCCTCCTCCTCCTCCTCCTCCTCCTCCTCTCCTCCTCCCTCCTCCCTCCTCCTCCTCCTCCCTCCTCCCTCCTCTCCCTCCTGCCTCCTCCCTCCTCCCAACTCCCAACTCCCAATGTGCATTTCCCGACGGCGAGGACCATCGAGGAGCATCTTGGTTCCTCTTGCGAAGAAATCTGCGAATGACATCGAATACATGCACAGGGAATGGACATCCGAGCGAAGGCGAGATGGGGGAGCGAAGAAAGGTGCACACATTGTTCCCCGAAGGGGCCCTATAGGGGCCCCTTGAGGCCCGAACGGTACACGTGTCTCCCTCTTCCTTTTTTTGCCCTCACTTTAAGCTTCGGCCGACCTGGACGAAGAGAGGATCGGTGCGATCGAAAGGGGTACAGAGTGACTGGGCACGAAGACCGACAGCAGTTCCTGTCCATGTTGAACGGGACTCGCCGTCGGTGTCCCCGTGGACGTCGTCCATTGCAGGCACCATGCCGCCTGCTCTTCAGCGGCCGCTGTCGATCGACAGTTGCTGCTGGGCATCATACCCACCTCCTCCGTACCCAGCGCGGGCGTACCAAGGACAATCGTACAGTGGAGGCCCATGCCAAGAAACACCCTGCTTGCCTCCAGGGTGCCCAGTGTTTCTCGGGTTTGGATGGTCTTGCTATGGAACGCGTGACGGTCCCACACCAGAAGTCCATGGACGTCCTGGGGTTCCAGGGTTGGGTTTCTTGTGGAAGGTCTCTTGTCGTCGAGCTCCTACTGTATGTGGGGAAGTCGCCTGGGGGACGGAGGTGGCCCAGCACCGGTTCCGGTGGCGGAGAAAGGGCACTTCTCCTTCGCCGCGGCCTGGCGCGGCTCGAAGGGCTGGTCGCAGCTGCGACCCCCATGGAGGAGTCCCGGGAACAGCTTGGAGCGGAGCTGCCCTCCTCGCCCCCTCGTGACTCATGGTGTTCCAACCTACTTTAGCCTTCACCACCAGAAAGAATTTCGAGCACTACAAGTACCGAAACTTGGCTTTTCATGTGTCGGGCCCTGGGAGACACTCGTCGGACACTGTTTCGACACTCTTTCGACACTCTTTCGACACTTTTCCGGGTGCTCGAAATTGTTTCTGGGATGTGGCCCTTCAGTATGACGGGAGCAATCTGTATTTCTTGACCGACTTCCTCGACGGCACGAGCAGAAACATGTGTAGAGGTCTGCGCGAAATTCTTGGAGATCGGCGCCGGGTCGCCCTCGCGGCGCCTCCAGCGCCGTCCTTAGCGCCCTCCGCGCGAAAGGGAGGGCGGTCCAGCGCCGATCCAAGAACTCCGCGCGGGCCTCAGAAGGCTATGTTTGTGCAGTGGTCTACTCTTCAAGGTTCACCGCTTCACGGCCATACATGCGCTTCTGCACCTTGGCATCGACGCCATATACCTGGACATGGACACGTTCCTGATCCGCGACCCCACTCCCCGGATCCTGTCCCAGGCGGAGGGCTTCGACGCGCTCTTCTCGCGGCACGCCGACGGGGACTGCGTCAACATCGGCGTGTTCTACCTGAGGATCGGGTCGGGCGAGGGGATGCGAGAACCGATGCTTACCAGCCTGGAACATATCCCTATCCCTATGCTGGGCACCTCCTCGTCACGATGCCAATCTTAGGGATTCCCTTATTTTTTGAGGGCGAATCCCTAAGATTGTCAGTGCCTTTTGGCGTGGCAATCTTAGGGATAGGGATACGTTCGAGGCTGGTAGGATGCGTGCCCCTGGTTTCGGCCCACCGCCAGTCGCTTCGAGGCACTGGGCGCCTGCAGAGGGAGGCGCTGGGGAAGCCAGGCAGTCGAAAAAGGAGGCACTGCACAGTCACGAGTGAATGTTTGGAACTCCGCGCGCATCTCCAGGCACTCGAAGGAGGAGGCATTGCAGAGTCATGAATGAATGTTTGGAACTCCGCGCGCATTTCCAGGCACTCGAAGAAGGACGCACTGCAGAGTCATGGATGTTTGGACCTCCGCGCGCAGTTCTCTCTGATCGGCCGTGGGCCCCCCGCCCCGCGCGCGGCCTCGCGCCAGGGGGCGGGCGCGGAGGGCGGCGCTCCGGGGCTCCAGGCGCCGATCCCGGAGAACTCCGCGTGGAGCTCCGCACGTTGCGCGCTCGTGCCACGTGTTCTTCCTCCTCCTCCTCCTCCTCCTCTTCCTCCTCCTCCTCCTCCTCTCCTCCCCTCCTCCTCCTCCTCCTCCTCTCCTCCTCCTCCTCCTCCTCCTCCTCCTCCTCCTCCTCTCCTCCTCCTCCTCCTCCCCTCCCCTCCTCCCCCCCCCTCCTCCTCCTCCTCCTCCTCCTCCTCCTCCTCCCTCCTCCTCCTCCTTCTCCCCCTCCTCCCCCCCCCCCTCCTCCTCCTCCTCCTCCCCCCCCCCCTGCTCCTCTTCGGGGGAAGGTCACGGTCGCAGGCCTAGAGATTGACACCAACACCAATGTCGGCGGTGTGCATCCACCGAGGGAGGAAGATCCCGATCTCGGCGATGGCGGTACTATTCTGGCTTCCAAGGTGGCCGAGATATTGCCACCCACGCCGAAGTCGAGGATCGTCTTCCCCCTGTGGAGGCAACCCCTTGTGTTGGTGTTGGTGCCCATTTCTAGGCCTCCAACACGGGGGATCTGTCATGGCGCCAACATCGCAGAGCGGATTTCGTTCGGAAAGCGATAGGGTGGGCCCGGCGAGTCCTGGAGCATTTCGCTCCAGATTTCGAGGTGAACTTCGCGCGGAGTCGTTCGGGCCAGGTGTGAAGACGAAACAAGCATCCACGCGGAATTCGCTTCGTTGTTCACTCGCCGTTTCAGGGTTTTGCATTGCCAGAAATCCACGCACAAATCCGCTGCAGCACGTCTGCAAGGTCGGTGCAGCGAGATATGGCAAGGGGGCGCCAGCGCCGATCCGCGAAACCCGCGCAGACCTCTCCGGCAGTCTGTGTCTACGGTCTGCTCAGCGTGTCGGCGGCGGCCCCGGCGACACGCTATCCCCCTTCGGCCTCCAGGCGGACGGCGTGTCGCTCCGCTCCGCTGATGGGCCAACTTTCCACCACCACTACCACAGGTAAAACGGGGGAGAAGGGACGATGAGGATGTCCTCCTCCTCCTCCTCCTCCTCCTCCTCCTCCTCCTCCTCCTCCCTACTACTTCCTCCTGCTCCTCCTTCCCCATCCTCCTCCTCATCATCATCACCATCCCCCTGCTCCTCCTCCTCCTTCTCCTGCTCCTCCTCCTCCTCCTCCTCCTCCTCCTCCTCCTCCTCCTTCTGCTCTCTTCCTCCTCCTGCTCTTCCTCCTCCCTCTCCTACCTACTGGTAGTGGTGGTGGGAGTCAGGAAGGGGAAAAGCACACTGACACAATTCATCGACGACTCCAAGGAACATATCAGAAAATACGGGAAGTATGGGCAATCCTGGGATTGGTGTGCATTTATGTGTGTCTCCCTGAGCTCCTTGAGGGAGTGGGGTCTCGAAAAAGGCTCGGGACGCTGCCGCTGGGCGGCCAGAACGTGGGTGGCGCACTCTCGCGCCGAGGCGTGGTGGGCCGGAACCGGCGGCGCGACACGGGAAGCCAAAGTTCTTGACCGTGTGTCACGTGTTGTTCCTCGAGCCTGGAGGGTTTATCCGAAGGGCTTAGGCGACCTGCCCTCCTCCTCCTCCTCCTCCTCCTCCTCCTCCTCCTCCTCCTCCTCCTCCTCCTCCTCCTCCTCCTCCTCCTCCTCCCGTCGTCGAGTCGAACGGTGCGATCGTCGCAGGCTGCTCGGGAGCCACAACTTTTGCCAAGATGCTGCTGCTGGGGCCGATGTTGGAAGCTCGGGAGAACAGAAGTTTGTTGTATGTGCGCAACGTTGTCGACGACGTTACAGTTCAGAGCTGTGGGCCGAGAGTTCAGGTTGCAGCTCAGTTATCAGGTGCAGTCGAGTCTCTTTTCAAGAGCTTCGAGCAGCTGCAGCTGCCAATGGAGTTTAAGAAGTGCGCCTACCTATGCTCGAAGGAGGTTGAGAAGCTCCTGTTCCAGGCCTGGTCCCTCCCTACTTTGTGCAGGTCGGACACGACGAGGAACCTAGGCACTAACGCGACTCTGGGAGGCCTGCGCAGGGTCGGGATCCAGAATGCCAGGGCTTCGGCGGCGTCGTCTCGGGCCAGGAGGTCGAAGATACTTCATGTAGCTGGGGCGGACATCGGGATGACCGGTCCACAGGATGGGGCCCGTGGCGTCGGCCCTCTGGGGCTCTTCGGTTTCAGGAGTGTCTCTATCGAAGATGGCTCTGGGGCTCTTCGGTTTCAGGAGTGTCTCTATCGAAGATGGCTGGTCTCGTATTGGTGCTGCTAGTTCCTTCGGCAGGCTCCCCAAAGGTGCTTCGGTGGGGCTCATAATGTACACGTACGGGCTCGGCTCCAAGGTGGACCCCCTTGTGATCTATTCAGGGCATGTCATTTTCATGTGGGCTACTGCTGTCTGGGAGGCGGTCCCTCACTATCAGGTTCTTGCCAGCACGATGCGGGCCTCGATTGAGAACTTCCAGAATTAGGCCCAGGGCGTCCTCTCCTAGCGACGTTGCCCTTCTTACTCTCCGAGGGCTGGGCTGGGACTTCGTAGACCAGCACAGCATCAAGGATGACTCGAATGTGGTGCACGATCTTTTCAGGCTGTCCCCGATGCAGGTCAGGGCCCTCGTCAGGCAGGGGGCGGGGAGAGCTTCGGGTCGACATGCACTCCAGTTGCAGAGCGGCCATGATGATCCCCCTGTCTCCCCCATCTTCTGGGACGGAATCCCCAGGATGCCCAGGGAGAAGTTGGAGGTGTGGGGCAAACATCACCAGAGGTGCCTTCGAGGACTGGTCTCGGGAGCGCATTGGCCTCAAGCATGTTTGTTCGCGCACAACCTGCATGACGACGAGCTTTGTCAGTTGTACAGAGGTACGCCAGGCACATTGTGGCACCGTCAGTATGAGTGCCCAGCTCACCCCGTTCAGCGGCGTGATCTAATGAGTGCTCGTCTGGGTGGTTGTGCGCAGAAAATGAACGAGCTAGGCCCGCTGGTGGCGGAGAGGCTCGCGAGGTGCATCTTCCCTCACCCCAGGCCCCTCTTGGACGTCGAGGAGCCCACCCAGACGGTCCATTGGCACCAGCGGCCCGAGACGGGCCTTCTCTCAGGGCTGCTCTTCCTGGACGGGTCTGCGAAATACATGGGCCTCGACGGCTTCACCAGAGCTGGATGGAACATCGTGTCGATTGACAGGTTCAGGAACGTTGTTTCGGCGGCGTGCGGGCTTGTCCCATTGAGTATGGCCCCGCAGCAGACGTGTAAAGACGGGGAAGACAATGCTGTACATATGTTGTCGCAGGTAGGCATTCCCTTTTTTCAGTGCTACATCGATTGCAAGAGCACTTTGGACTCGCTTGCTCGCGGGCCTGGTTTCTCTGAGGGTCCTGGGGCCCCTCGGGCCCACCTTTGGGGCCCTGTGTGGAGCGCGTTTGCTCTCAGCGATTTCGAGCGCCACAAGACGTTAGGCCATGCGACTGCCGCCGACATAGAGTCTGGCAGGAGCACCGAGTGGGAACGTCGGGCCAAAGGGCACGCAGACGAGTTCGCTAAGCTAGGGGCAGATTGTCACGGGGTCAGCGAGGACGGCGCTAACGTGTACAGGGGCTTGCGACGCTTCGCCCGCCAAGCGTGCAGGTGGGCGGGAAGCGTCGAGGTCACCATGTCGGGAGCGCCCCGCGACACGACAGGCCTTGTGCAGCGTTCGGCAGGCATCGATGGCCTTCGGCAGCAGCCCTCGCTCGAGGAAGCAGCGGAAGGCCAGACCCTGGCCGACGATCAAAGGGAGGGTGGAGGTTCGTTGGACTTGGGGGAGGAGTGGCGGCCTTTCTCTCGGCAGGTTTTTAGGGCGAACGGTCATGCGTTCCTGGCCTGCCCTGTTTTTGAGCCTCCAGGGACCCCCAGGAGTAAGATCCAGTTTTGGTGCAGGCGTGGATCGTTTTTGTCGGGGGGGCCCAGCGCTGGAGCCAGAGGGCCGTGCAGGCCTAAGGCGACCATGGGCGGGATTTCAGACCAGCTGAAAAGGATTCGGCTGGGTAGGTTCCCGTTTTATAAGAAGGACTAGAAGAATTTATCTCTGGGGGCCCACGAGGGCCTTAGCCTCGCCGAGCGCAGGGTCTTGGCTCAGACGCTGCATGGGGATGGCCAAACCCCCCAGAATGTCTCAGGTCCCACAGCGGGCGGCTTCGCAGGGGGGTTCGCCCCGCGAGAACAGGTTTTGGATTCTTTCGGCCTCGTCGAGTCGGGTCTACCCTGGGTCAAGGTCCTATGGGCCGCCTCCTTCCGAACCACGCGCAACGGCGTCTAGTCAGACCCGGAGGCGTCCGACTTTGGCTGATTGTCTGTGACGCGCTGGCTTTAGGCCCGTCCCCAACATCCTCTTCCTCCTCCTCTTTTTCCATCCCCCCCTCCTCCCATCATCTCCCCCTCCCCCTCCCCCTCGTCCACCTCCTCCTCCTCATCCTCCTCCTCCTCTCTTCCTCCTCCTCGTCCTCCTCCTCCTCCTCTTCCTCCTCCTCCTCCTCCTCCTCCTTTTCCTCCTCCTCCTCCTCCTCGGGTCGCTTGGGGCCCTGGGGGAACACGATCGCGTCATAAAGGGATCTGGGCGGCAGGCTTTTGGCCATTTTCGGCCTCGGGGTGCCAGAACCAGGCCTCGGGACCGCCCAAAAACGACGCAGGATGAAACACCGGTCCCGGGGCAAAGGTCGAAATTTCCAGGGGCGTCGTATTGGATAAATCAGGATATCGCACGTCTGGGGGGCGTGGCGCTACGAATGCCGATGTTGGCTTGCCCGATGCGGTGCGATCCCGGTGGTTTGGTCGGTCCGAGTCGGCCCGACGCCTGCGTGGCGCAGTGGTGCGCCCTGGCGCGGCGGAGCGGATTCGATTCCGACCCCGGTCCCACCCGGGAGCAACACCCCGAAGATCGGGGGCGGAAAAGAGGGGGGTGATGACTAGGGGGGGGGATATCATGGCGGGGGTCATGATAGTTCCCCAGATTTTATGGCGCCTTTTCTTATTTCATTACGTCCCTGGCCCCCCCGCTGGGCCGCGCACATGCCGCCGGTCATGATTTGCACCCCCCCCTCTTGGACACCCCCCTCTGGGCCGCTCCGGAGAAGACGGCGGTGTTCGAGGGCGGCCAAGGTGGCATCGGAGGTTGATGGGCCTCCTACCCGGACGCGTCGATCAGGATCGGCCGATTTCGGTTCGCGAGGGAGCGTCGCGGCCGTCATTTGCACGGGTCCAGGTCCGTCGGTTTCGGTCTCAGGCCGTGTTCGCCACGTGGGGGTTTGCTGCAGGGAGGTTCGTCCGCCGCCGATGGGCGTGCTGACCAGGGGAGGGGGGGGAGATCATTCAGGAGGGGAAAAACAAAGCACACAGACACAATTCATCATCGACTCCCCAGAAAATATGGGAAAATAGGGGAATCGGGCGGGAAGACAGAAACCCTGAGAATATGGGAAGATATGGGGAATCCTGTTACTTGTGTGTATTTATCTGTGTCTCCTTGGGCCCCTCAGAGATGGCCGGGGGCAGGGGGGAACAAAAAGTGACACAAACATAAAGATTCGGAGGTCCGCGCGGATTTCTCGGATCGGCGCCGGGGCCCCTCGGCGGCGCCTCCGGCGCCGCCCCTGGCGCGCTCCGCGCGCCAGGGAGGGGGCCCCAGCGCCGATCCGAGAAATCTGCGCGGACCTCCGAGTTTGTATGTTTGTGCCACTTTTTGTTTCCCTAGACCAGGGGGGGGGGGGCGATCATGGCCGGGGCCAGGACCTCGCCCCAGAGCTCGAGGCCCCTCCGCCTGCCCGAGCACGCCCGCTGCCCCCCCCCCCCCTCGGCCGCGCACGTGCCTCGGGCCACAGCCTGCGTCCCCCCCCCCCTCTCTCGGACGCCCCCCTCTCGGACGCCCTCCCTACCCCCTCCTCCCTCCTCCCTCCTCCCCCCTCCTCCCTCCTCCCTCCTCCCTCCTCTCTCCCTCCTCCCTCCTCCCTCCTCCCTCTCTCCTCCTCCCTCCCTCCTCCCTCCTCCCTCCTCCCTCCTCTCTCCCTCCTCCCTCCTCCCTCCTCCCTCACTCATCCCTCCCTCCTCCCTCCTCCCTCCCTCCTCCCTCCTCCCTCCTCCCCTCCTCCTCCTCCCTCCCTCCTCCCTCCTCCCTCCTCCCTCCCTCCTCCCTCCTCGCCGAAGATGCTGGAGACTTCGCTGAAGGCCAGAGGGCTCCTGAGAGGCCCTGCCGCCTTCTGCGAAGGCCTCCTCTCCGGAGGCAGCCCCTGGGAGGTTAACCTCTGACTTTGCTCTGGTCCAAAGTCCAGCTTCGTCCAGCGCAATTCCGCTAGATCCGGCTTACATTCCCGGTAGATCCATCAAGGGCCCCATGTTTCCGCGGCCTGATCCGGCGTAGCAGCCGTCCAAAATAAGGCTCCGGTCTCTCGCGCATTCTTCCCGCGAGGACCTCTGCAGAGGTTGCCTCCTAGCTTCTCCTCCTCGCTTCCACCCCTCGCTGGCCGCCGACGAGGATCGGCGGGGCGAAAAGGGTGGGTAATTCGGGAGAGGGGGTAGGGCGTCTTGGGAGCCCCCCTGCTTCTTGGAAGGCGCGGGCCTTGTCTATAGATGTCAGGCCCGCGCCTTCTGAGAAGCAGCTTCCTTTTATGGGCGCCCCGAAGACGGCGGCGTGGCTCTCCAAGCTCCTGGGCCTCACCTGGCGCAGCAGCTCCCCAGTGAGGCTCCATTCTCCCCCATCTTTCCGACGAAGACCTCCCAGAAGCTGCCTCCTCCTCTTCACTGCCACCCCTCGTTACGTTGCATCCTTGGGGGACCTCGCTTGTCCCAAACATCTGTGTCTTTTCTTGTGCCCGACGCGCGCTCGATGCGGACGCGACGCGGATGTGGCGTGGATTCGACGCGGAGTCGACACGGATTCGACACTGATCCGACGAGTCCGACATGGGTTCGACACGGACTCGACGCGGACGGGGCCGCGACGGGACAGACGAGGTCCCCCGAAGATGTGCAATAATTTTGTGGAAGTCGAGTAATGGAGAGGAATCATGCTGCCAAATATTTTCCAGATGTCTGAAACATGTTTCAAACATGTCTTGAACTATTAAAGCGCATGTTTGAAACATGCTTAGAACACGTTGTACACACTTCAAACACATCTTTAATTCAATTATAGGCTTGTTAGAGTGTCCATTGTCATGGCATCCACAACAATAATTGTCGCTTGCCGCCGACGAGGAGCACCCCGGAAACGGCGGTGTGGCTCTCCCAGTTCCTTGCGTGGTACCACGACCACCCCTTCGAGATCGACCAGCGCGGGCTCCAGGTCTTCCTGCGCCTGCCCTCCGAGCGGGTGCTCCCCTACAGGGAGAATCGTGCTGGTGTGGCGTGCGTGCGAGCGTGCGAGCGTGCGTGCGTGCGAGCGTGCGAGCGTGCGTGTGTGTGTGTGTGTGTGTGTGTGCTTGTATGCGTGTGCGTGTGTGTGTGTGTGTATGTGTGTGCGTGTGCGTGTGCGTGTGCGTGTGCGTGTGCGTGCGTGCGTGCGCGGGCGTGTTTGCGTGTGTGCGTGCTTGTACGTGTGTGTGTGGTGATGTGTGTGTGCGCGCGTGCGTGCGTGCGTCCGTGCGTGCGTGCGTCTGTGCCTGCGTGCTTGCGTGCGTGCGTCCTTGCCTGTGCGTGCGCGCATGCGTTCGTGCGTTCGTGCGTGCGTGCGTGCGTGTGTGTGTGTGTGTGTGATTGTGTGTGTGTGTGTGAACGTGTGCTTGTGTTTATGTTTGTGTTTGTGTTTGTGTGTGCGTGTGTCCCTGGGCCCCTTCCGCGCCCCCTCCCCCGCGCGCGCAGCCGCGGATCCCCCCCAGCGCACAGCCTCCCGGGCTGCCCAGGAGCTCGGAGGAGGAAACGGTGTCCATACCGCTACCTTTTCCATCGTTCTCCCAGAACGTGGGGGAGGATGAGAAGGGAGGAGGAGGAGGAGGAGGAGGAGGAGGAGGAGGAGGCGGAGGAGGAGGAGGAGGAGGAGGAGGAGGAGGAGGAGGAGGAGGAGGAGGAGGAGGAGGAGGAGGAGGAGGAGGAGGAGGAGGAGCGGAGGAGGAAGAGGAGAGGGAGGAGGAGGAGGAGGAGGAGGCGGAGGAGGAGGAGGAGGAGGAGGAGGAGGAGGAGAAGCGGCAACTTCTGAAGACTTTCATGCCGTGAGGAACTGAGGAACCGAGGAGGAGGGGGAGGAGGAGCATAAGGAGGAGGAAGAGGAGGACGAGGTACCCATACCCTCCATCTTGGCCTCGTTCTCCCCTTTGCGGGGCCTCCCGGGAGGCCCTCGTCGCCACCGTTGGATTCGCCCCGAGATCCTGGCCAGAACGCACCCTTGGAGACGTCCGGGGAGAACCGAGAATCGGAGGTCTCAGAGCTGTGTGGTGACAGACCGCGCGCTGACCTCGAAAACCCAGGAGACCACACCGCGCGGTCCGTCACTGCACGGCCTTGGGCCCTCTCGTGCCATTTTGAGGCTCTCTGGGCCACCGCGCAGCCACGGGCACAGCTCGAGCAAGGCGGCCCACACGATGAAGAGGCAGCCGGAGGCGTGCGGGAGGGTCGGGACCTGACGCTCCCAAGAGCCCTCGAGAGGCATCCCAAGGTTCTCAAGAGGCGCGCGCCGAAGAGACCCCTCGGATGCCCCCGGGAGGTCCCGCCGAGGCTCCCTGCAGTCCCAAACAACGGCATGGACTCAGATTTTGGGGAGTCCGCGCGTACTTCTTGGATCGATCGGCGCCGGGCCCCCTGGCGGTGCCTCCTGTGCCAGGGGGCGCCGAGTAGATCCTCGCGAGCCTCTGGCGTACAAGTTGGTGTTTGTGCTTCTGGGGAGCCTCCGACGAACAATTTGGTGTCTGTGCTTCTCTTCGTCTTCCGCTGCCCCGAGGCCCTGCCCCAGAAATGGGCCTCCTGGGGCGACGCCGGCCAGGCCCATCCTGGGCCCTCAGGAGCGGTGTACAGGCTGCTGGCCAGCTTGCTCGCCCTCCTCCTCCTCCTCCTCCTCCTCCTCCTCCTCCTCCTCCTCCTCCTCCTCCCCCTCCTTGTCCCCTTCCCCCTCCCCCTCCCCTCCTCCTCCTCCTCCTCCTCCTCCTCCTCCTCCTCCTCCTCCTCCTCCTCCTCCTCCTCTCCTCCTCTCCTCCTCCTCCTCCTCCTCGCTCCTCCTCCTCCTCCTCCTCTCGCTCCTCCTCTCCTCCTCCTCCTCCTCCTCCTCCTCCTCCTCCTCTCCTCCTCCTCCCTCGCTTCTCCTCTCCTCCTCCTCCTCCTCTCCTCCTCTCCTCCTCCTCCTCCTCCCTCCTCCTCCTCCCCCTCCTCCTCCCTCTCCTTGTCCCCCTCCCCCTCCCCCTCCCCTTCCTCCTCCCGCACCAGGCAAGATGCAGGCCTGGGCTTTTTGGGCGCTATTGTTCCTCTAAGGGGGGCACAGCCATCTGTGCACACGCAGTTGTCGTGATGAGTAGTCTTCCACGGAGGCAAGCTGACGCGCAAAGTGTACGCAGGCGGTCGCGGCCCGCCCCTCGTGCACGCGGGCGGGCTGCGCACGCTAAAAAGGTGCCATCGCTTCATGCCATCGCGTTATGCGCGAACGCTCTTCCTGCATTCCTGGAGCAGGTCACCGCCTGATCTCCGCATGCGTCACATCCACGCCCACAGATAGGAGAGGCACCGATCCGTACCGGACGGACGCGTGCGCCCCATCAGGGATGGGACCGCGCACCTCTGGCCAGACGCCGTCGATGACCTGTGTCCCCTGTTTCAAAGCGATGGTCCCGGTGCGTCCGTTCGGACTTACGACGCGGACGCGGTCGACGACGGCCCGTTATTCGGCGTCGTGGGAAACCGTGCCGTGAGACGGCTTCAAGTGCTGGTACTGGGCGCTGAAGCACTCTGCGTTGGAATGGTGCGGGTCCTTCCCCTCCTGGCTGTGAGCAGCGCAGCTCCTCTTGGCGCCAGACTGCTATGCCCCAGCGCCATCAATCGAAAGGGTGAATGTTGCCAGCCGCGACGGCCAACGAGAGGACAGCATCACACGTTGGGCCGCCGAGCGGCACGCCGCTCCCTCCAGCAGCGCAAGTACGGTCGGTGATGGGCGTCTTCTCCACCACCACCACCATAAGTTGGAGGGCGTCTTCCCCACCACCACCACCACCATAAGTGCGGTCGGTGATGGGCGTCTTCTCCACCGCCCCACCATAAGTTCCACCACCTCCACCACCACCACCGGAACAAAGCAGGGAGACCCATTCAGCTCACTACTCTTCAATTGCGTTTCAGAATATATTCTCAGACGTGTGAAGGAAAAATGGACAACGAAGCAGCGTGGGATCCCGCACCTACCAAACAGCGACGGTTTACTGAACAACTTACGATTTGCCGACGACGCCCTCCTCATTGCACGATCAAGCAACGACATCACCAGCATGTTGTCCGATATGATCATCGAAGCGACAGACGCCGGGCTACTACTGCATCCAGACAAGACCAACATTCTGCATACCGGACACAGACCAAAAAGAGCACGGCGACCGCCTACCCACGTCCTCGTCCACAACATGGAGATCGAAGTGCTCCCGCCTTACCGAGCAACTAAGTATTTGGGGCGCAAGTTCCAATGCAGCGACAGCCACAAGATGGAAGTGGAGAACCAGATTGCGTCGGCATGGAAAACATTGTATTCACTCAAGCAGGAGCTTACTGGAACGCACTACTCACTGAACAACCGTATCCGGCTATTCCACGGAACAATTGCTCCAACGGTGCTATATGGTTGTGAGGCTTGGACGATGACGCAGGAGCTCGAGAATAGAATTCGAAGGGCGCAGCGACAAATGCTCCGGATGATAGCCAAAACGCCTCGACGAAGGCTTGCTGGCAACCACGACTTCGAAGACGGCACCGGCGGCAACGACGCCAGCGGCAGGAACGACAAGGACTCTAACGATTCCGGCACCGACGGCGGAGGTGATGTAGACAGTGTGGCACCATCTGTACAATCAGCATCGGACGATTTCGAGGACACCAACCCACTCAAACCCTGGTCAGACTGGATCAAACGAGCAACTCGACATGCAGAGAGTGTTATTTAATCGCTTCGCTCATTCCGCCGGCCCATATTGTCGCACCGTTGTGGGCTAGCCGAGTTTTGGGGGCCGTTTTGGGGCCTCTTGGGGCCTCTTTTGGGCCTCTTGGGCGCCTCTTGGGGCGTCTTGGGGGCCTCTTGGGGGCCTCTTGGGGCCTTTTTGGGGCCTCCTGGGCGCCTTCTGGGGCGGAGGGCTCGATTTTTCAGTTCTCGGTTCCCCTCTTGAGCCCCTCTTGGGCCCGTCTTGGGGCCTATTGGTCCGTCTTGGGCGGCACTTGGGCCGTCTTGGGGGCCCTCCTGGGCCGTTCCGGGGCCGTCTTGGGAGCCTCGTGGGCCGTCTTGGAGCGGTTTTGGGGGCCTCTTGGGCCGTCTTGGAGCGTCCGGAAGCCGAAAAAGCCTTAACGCAAAGAACATCGACAAAAACAATGAAAATCAACGATTTGGGCCTCTTGGGGCCCTCTTCGGAGGCCTCTTGGAAGGCCCTTGGGGCGTCTTGGAGGCCTCTTGGGCTGTCTTGGGGCCCTGTTGGGCGTCTTCGGGCGATCTTTGGCCGTCTCGGGGCCCTCTTGGACCGTCTTGGAGGCTTCTTGGGGACCTCTTGGCCCGTCCTGGGGCCCTGTAACAGAACTCCGGCATCTCTGGCCCGACCTTGCCGGGACCTTGCCGGGGACTTGCCGGGACCTTGCCGGGGTACTTTTCGTCCGGGGACCCCCAGGGGCCGCCCCGCGCGCGCGAACTAGAAATATTGTTAACCAGGTACCGGAGATCTTAGCACGCCCTGGCCCGTTGGGCCGGCGAATTTCAAAACTACGCATTATAGATTGGGCCACGTCTGTCAGACAGCGCAAGTGGGAATGGGTACGCACGGTTGCCACCAGCACTACAAAAGAGTGGGCACGAACGGTTTTGCAATGGGACCCGGGAGGTGATGTACACGGACAGGCACATCGACGAGTTGGCCGCCCCAAGGCCAGGTGGTGGGACGATCTATTCCGTTACACACAGCAGTGCGTGCCGGATGCACCACATACCGTGGCAGACTTGTTACTAAGTTACACATTGCAACCGCGGACATTTGGGACAATATCCAGCCAGGATGCGTCACACAATGAATGAGGGAGCCGGCACGTCGTAATTACTTAATGTTCGTATGTTTCACACACATAGTTGTTGTATCTACGATTACATATTGCATTTCTCCTTTGCCCATCCTCTGTTGGTCGCTCTCTGTCTCTGTGTTCCTCACGTTCGCTTGTCCCTCGTCTCACCGTCGCCAATTGTCATGCACGGCGGTGCCCCCGCGCCCACCTGCAGCACCCCCCGCGGCGCCTCGACTGCAGGCCGATGTCCGATGTCCGAGGTCCTCCTCCTCCTCCTCCTCCTCTTTTTCCTCCTTCTCGTCCTCCTCCTCCTCCTCGCCCTCCTCCTCCTCGCCCTCCTAACTTGTGGTGGTGGTGGTGGTGGAGACAAGGCCCATCAGTCGGGGAGCTCGAAAAGGTCGCCAGATGGCGCTGTCCACGAGGCGATGAAGCACGATGCGGTGTTGACCGCGCCCTCACGACCCCTGCGATGCGTTGAGCTGTTGTCCTCGAAGTCCCCGCCTGCACCGCCAGCTCGTCGGAGGGCTCGCATCCCGAGGCGTGCTGGGGCGCGGCGCGTGCGATGGCCAGGAGGGCGCGCGCGCGTTGTTCGCGCTTCCTGCAGGGCTGGGCCTGAGCGATGCCATTCGTTTCCGCGCTGCTGTTTGACAGCCGTCGCGCTGTTTTCGCTTCGACCCTGGGCCGAACCGAAACCAACGCGGAAACGACCTGCGAAATCGCGAACACGTCGTTTAGGCCCAGCCTTCGGCGCCTGGGTTGAATTGCTCCTTGAGGGGACTTTTCGGGTCCAGGTTCGCCGCTCGCTTCTGGCACGCCCACATGGAACAGTGCCAGGCAGGGTAGCCCAAAGGCGGAACGGTGAAACCAGCCACTTGGGTGTCCTTCTCCGATTGGTTTGTTTCGACGTTGCAGTTCCATGGCGCCGCCCTGGCACGCGGAGCGCTCGCTCACAAGACCTGGCGGTACACCAGTCTCGATCACGATGCGCGCGAGGAGCTCGGGGCTGACGCGCGCCAGGTCGGACGGTCAAGGAACTCGTTTCAGGCGCGGGCAGTTCGGCACTCCGTCTGTGAGGACGGGGAGGAGGAGGACGTACAGTCAACCCGCATAGCAAGGCTGGGCAACCTTGCCAAGGGTACCCTTGCATCCTTGCCCCCTCGGTCCATCCTTCGCCGCTTTCGCTGGCCGCGCCCCGCTCGAAAAGCCTCGAGATGGGCGTCCAAGGCCCCTGTATCCTTATCGCGCCTCCTTACTATCCTGGTGGACTGTACGCTGGAGGTGCAGCTCTCTCGCGTGGGTCCTGGCCAGCACCTGCACGGCCGCGCCGGGACGGCAGGCGTGCCAGTGCGGTGGCCGGCGCCGGGCGCCCGCGCCGGCGCGGCGCCCGCCGCCCGCGCCCATCGCCGCACATGCCCCCCCTGCTCGCAGGCGGCGCGCGCGCCGCGGCTTCCGCGCCGCTTGCCGCCCCGTTCCCCATCCGCCCAGGCCCAGACATGGTCGCGGACGTGGAACAGTCAGGGCGGGAGGTGTGTGGCCACTGTGGGCCTCGGGGGGCCCTCGCTGGGCCTCGGGAGCGGCCGGAGACGGCGCAGGATGGAGAGCGGGTCCCGTGGATAGAAATGGTCAGGGGTTCCAGGGGCCCTGCAGCGAAAACATCGGGACGTTGCATGTCTGGGGCAGCAACAGTTGCTCGTCAGCGGGCTGGCCCACAGATGGCAGTAGGAGCCTCCACGTTCGGATGTCTCCCCTCCTGCCATCGGAGAGCATGGAGGAGGACGGGAAGAGGGAGGACCCCCACAGCGGGGCAGAACCCATGGGGGTGCCAAAACTTTGTTGGAGAAGACCTGCCGAACAAACAAGTACAACAAACACCATAAACTACATAGGAATTCTGGCAACATTCCCTTGGTTATCGCCAACCTTGTCCCGAAACCATAGTTTTGTTTGTTGGGTTGCTTTGAGTTGTTTTTGCTCTTCCCACACTTGTCGCAAGCGTTCTCGGCGAGGTGTTCAAAATCTCCAACACCGCCCATGCCTGCATCGTGCCTGGCGCTCCTCCTCCTCCTCCTCCTCCACCTCCTCCTCCTCCTCCACCTCCTCCACCTCCTCCCCCGCCTCCACCTCTTCCTCCTCCTCCTCCTCCTCCTCCTCCTCCTCGCCCTCGCCCTCATCCCTCCCCCTCCCCCTCGCCCCCCTCCCTCCTCCCTCCTCCCTCCTCCCTCCTCCTCCTGGGCTTGGCCGGGGAGGCATGCGCGCAGCGCTCGTGGGCCCAGGGCGGGCCTGGCAGGCGGCGGTGGATGTGCATAGATCTCGTTGCCCCTCCTCCTCCTCCTGCTCCTCCTCCTCCTCCTCCTTCTCCCCCTCCTCCTCCTCCTCCTCCTCCTCCACCTCCTCCTCCTTCTCCTTCTCCTCCTCCTCCTCCTCCTCCTCCGCCCCGCCTGCGGAGGCGCGTCCGGCGGCGGTGGTGCGCAGCCTCCACTTTCCCTTACGTCGGGCGTGTCCCTCCACAGGAGGGATCTTAGAACATATTCCAACAATAGTCTGGGGACGATTTCTCGATTATTGTTTCGGGGGTACTATGCATTTGTCCTTCAAGATCCGCCTGCAGGGGGGCATGACCGACCTAACCTTTCCCACAGGTGCAGATCGCGTACCCCCCCGCCGACCTCGTGGGGATCCGCGCGGGGGTGCTGGACGACGTGAACGAGTTCGTCATCGGGGTCAGCGGCTGGCACGGCGCCCACGAGCGACTGCTCATCCTGCACTGGTGCGAGAAGCCCATCTGGAGGAAGAACACGCCGCATGCCTATGAACTTTCGGCGGTTCGCGCGGATTTCGTGGATCGGCGCTTCCCCCCCCATCCCTGGCGCGATCCGGCGGCGCTGGTGGCGCCGCCGGGGAGCCCAGCGCTGACTCAGGAGATCCGCGCGGGCCTGCGACAGTGTATACTTGTGCCGTTGTTTGTTAGGGGAACGAGCAACGACGTAAACACAAATACTCGGAGGGCCGCGCGGAATTCTCGGATCGGCACTGGACCCCCTCCCTGGCGCGCGGAGCGCGCCAGCGCCAGGGGGGTCCCAGCGCGGATCCGAGAAGTCCGCGCGGGCCTCCGAGCTTTTGTGTTTATGCCGTTATTCGTTCCCCTATTGCTCCTCCTGGCCCCTCGAGCAGAAGGAGGAGGAGATCTGGGCCGCGTACGACGCCGCCGACGCCGCAGCGGCGCACGGCATGGCGCTGGCGCCGGCGCTGCTCGCGGCCTCGCCGGCTCGGGGGGGGCGCGGGAGCTCCAGCAGTGGCGAAGCGTTCAGGCTCACCTGTCGGCCCGCCAAGGAATGCTCTAAGCACCGCGTGTGGTCTGCACGAAATGCCCTCGGAGCATTTCTGGCTGAGACGGTCTTGTTTTGACACGTCGGCTTCATGTTCCAAGAAAATGGTGTTCGGTTGTTGGAAAGTTTTTGGGGGGCTCTGAGAACATCTCTCTCGTTCTCTCTCCATGTGTATACATACATATATATATATGTTTTATATGAATCGTGGTAGGCCTATTGGAGCATTGTCTTTCGTGGTTGGAAAATTCTGGAGGTTCTAAGAACATCTCTCTTCATACACACACATATCTATATATATATATATGTATGTATATGTACGTTGCCCCGGCAAACGGGGTTACCAGTTCGAGCCAGCGCCGAAGACGCTATTTGAAGAAGTTATTCCCTGTGACGACGCGTCCTTGTGAAGACGCTATTCCTTGTGACGACGCTATTTCAGGTGAAGCCGGTGAACACGTTATTCCTGGCGGTGAAGGCGCTATTCCAGGTGAAGACGCTACTCCCGGTGAAGACGCTATTCCCTGTGAAGACGCTATTCCCGGTGAAGACGCTATTCCCTGTGAGTACGCGTTCTGCGGGCACAGAGCACTTCCTTTATGAAGACGCTATTCCCTGTGAGAACGCTATTCCCAGTGAAGACGGTATTCCCTGTGAAGACGTCTATGTACCGGGTAAGACGCTATTCCTGGTGAAGACGTCATTCCCGGTGAAGACGCAATTCCGGGTGAAGACGCTACTCTGGGTGACGTTATTCCCAGTGAAGACGCTATTCCTGGTGAAGACGCTACTTCGTGTGAAGACGCTATTCCAGGTGAAGATGCTATTCCGGGTGAAGACACTATCCCCTGTGAAGACGCTAGTCCAGGTGAAGATGCTATTCCGGGTGAAGACGCACTATTCCTTGTGAAGACGCTATTCCTGGTGAGTACGCTATTCCTGTGAAGACGCTATTCCGGGTGAAGGCGCTATTCCGGGTGAACACGTTATTCCCAGTGAAGACTCTATTCCAAGTGAAGACGCTATTCCCTGTGAAGACGCTATTCCCAGTGAAGACGCTATTCCAGGTGAAGACGCTATTCCCGGCGAAAACGCTATTCCTGGAGAAGACGCTATGCCTTGTGAAGACGCAATTCCGGGTGAAGACGCTGTTCGGGATCCTGGTCACGAGTGTGAAGACGCTATTCCGGGTGAAGACGCTATTCCCTGTGAACATGCTCCTTCTCTTCACCAGGCCCAGTCTTCAACCTGCTCCCCGCCCATTTGTAATTTGACAGTGCCATTTTACTTTACGCTTTCCGTGCCTAACACTACGCGCACCCCATCTGCTGTGCGACACCCTCTGCTAGGCAAGACCCCTCCCCAAGTTGATAAAACAAGCCCTTGATGTTAGACGTGCCCCATGTGCTGCGCGGCGCCCTCTGCTAGGCAAGACCCCTCCCCAGATTGATAAAACAAACACAGACATCTTTGGTGCTAGATGTGCCCCTTTGCTGTGTGGCACCCATTGCCGGGCAAAACCCACCCCCAAATTGATAAAACATGAGTCATTGGTGGTAGACGTGCCCCATTTGCTGTGTGGCACCGTCTGTTAGGCAATGGCCTTCCCCAAGTTGCTTTACAAAAGGAATCCTTGCTGCTAGACGTGCCCCATCTGCTGCGCGGCACCCTCTGCTAGGCAAGACCCCTCCCCAAGTTGATTAAAACAGAATCCTTGGTGCTAGACGTGCACCATCTGCTGTGTGGCACCATTTGGTGGGCAATGGCCCATCCACAAGTTGATTAAACAATAAATATTGGTGCTAGGCGTGCCCCACCTGCTGTGCGGCACCTTCTGCTAGGCAAGACCCCTCCCCAAGTTGATTAAAACAAACATCCTTTGTGCTAGATGTTCCCCTTGTGCTGAAAGGCACCTTCTGCTAGGCAACAGCCTTCTCCAAAAAGGAATCCTTGGTGTTAGACGTGCCCCATCTGCTGTGTGGCACCCTTTGTTAGGCAATGGGCCTCCCCAGTGTGATTACAAAAGAATCCTTGGTGCCAGACGTGAACCACCTGCTGAACGGGACCTTCTGCTAGGTAAGACCCCTCCCCAAGTTGATGAAACAAATCCTTGGTGCTAGGCGTGCCCCATCTGCTGTGCGGCACCCTCTCCAAGGTGAGCCCCTTTGCTGTGCAGCACCTTCTTCTGGGCAAGACCCCTCCCCAAGTTAATTTTAACATAATCCCTGGTGCTAGACATGCCCTTTTGCTGTGCGGCACCTTTGCTAGGCATGACCCCTCGCCAAGTTGATTAAAAAATGAATCCTTAGTGCTAGATGTGCCCCTTTGCTGTGCGGCATCCTCTCCAAGGTAAGCCCCTTTGCTGCGTGGCACCTTTTGCTAGGCAAGACCCTTCCCCAAGTTAATTAAAACAGAATCCCTGGTGCTAGACATGCCTTTTTGCTGTGCGGCACCCTATGCTAGGCAAGACCCCTCGCCGAGTTGATTAAACAATAATCCTTGGTGCTAGACATGCCCCTTTGCTGTGCCGCACCCTCTGATAGGCCAGAACCCTCCCAAAGTTGATTAGAAGTAACCATTGGTGCTAGGCGTGCCCCACCTGCTGAACGGCACCTTCTGCTAGGCAACACCCTTCCCCAAGTTGATTTAAAAAGAATCCTTCTGCTAGACAAGACCCCTTCCAAAGTTGATTAAAAAAAAGAATCCCAAGAGGCCCCAAAATGGCCCCCCAGGAGGCTTCGAAACAGCTTCCAAGAGCCCGACGAGAAACCTCCCAAGAGACCCCCAAACGAACATCCAGGAGACCTTGGACCCGCAACCCAGCCCCATCGGGCGGCGGCGGCTGGCGGCGGCGGGGGCGGCCGACGAGAAACAGGTTTCTCGTCGGGCTTTTGGATGCTGTTTTGAAGCCTCCTGGGGGACCGTTTTGGGGCCTCTTAGGGCCTCGTTTGGTTTTTTGGGGGGCCTCATGGGGCCTCCTGGGTGTTTCTCGAGGCCTCCCGGGACCTTCTTGAGGCGGAATGCCCCAGGAGCCCGCAGGATGGATCCGTTGGAAGCGTGTCACCGGTGCGGCGCGGTCCGGGTGGCTTCCCAATCCTTCGTGTTTAACGTATGCGTCTATCGATTGGTCCTCTCTTGGGGCCTCCTGGGGCTTCGAGGGGCCTCCTGTAGCTGCCTGCGGCTTTCTGGGGCTTCCTGGAGTCTCCTGGAGCCTCTTGGGGCCTCCCGGGGCTCCCCGGGACTTCCTGGGACATCCTGGTGCTTTCTGGGGCTGCCTTGGACCCTCCTGGTGCCTCCTGGAGCTGTCTTGGCCCTCTCCTGGGGTGCCAATCCTTTGTGTCAAACGTATGTGCCAATACATTGGCCTTCTCTTGGGGCACGAGTCCACTGTGTTTCACGTATGTGCCTATAGATTGGCCGACTCTTGGGGCACGAATGTTTAGTGTTTTACGTGCATGCTTATATACTGGCCGTATCATGGAGCGCGACTCCTTAGCGTGTTACGTGATGCCTCGAGGTTTGTCTTCTTTTGGGGCGCGAATTCTTTGTGTTTTATACATGTGCGTAATTATAGGTTTGCCCTCTCCTGGGGCACGAGTCCTTTTTTGTGTTTCACGTGTATACCTATAGATTGGCCCGTTCCAGGGGCACGAATCGTTAGTGTTTGCTTGCAGAGTTGCCCTTCGCTGGGGCACGAGCCCTGCGTGTTTTACGTATGCGCCTATGGATTTGCCCTCTCCTGCGGCACGAACTTTTCGTTCTTACGTATGTGCCTATCTATTCGCCCTCTCCTGGAGCACGAATCCTTCGTGTCTTACGTGTGTGCATATAGATTGGCCTTCCCCTGGGGCACGAATCCGTTTGTGTTTACCGCATGTGCCAATACATCGGCCCTCTCTTGGAACACGAATCCTCTTAGTGCTTTATGTATGTGCCTATAGATTGACCTTCTCTTAGGGCGCGAATATTTCGGTTTCACGCGCGTGCTAATAGAGTGGCCGTATCATGGGAGACGAATCCTTAGCGTGATTGGCCCTCTCCTGGGGCACGATCCCTTTCCAGGGGCACGAAGCTTTCGCGTTTGACGTATTTGCTTATAGATTTGCCCTCCCCTGGGACACGACGCCTGCGAGGCGTCACGACCTTGAATGGGCGTCAGGGGAATAGAGGCTTCAGACCGAATAGCGGTTTAACGAGCTCCAATGGGCTCGAATAGAGGCGTCACGAGCTTCACCGGGCGCCAAGAGAATAGAGGTTTCAGGCCGAATAGAGGCTTCACGAGCTTCAACGGGCGTCAAGGGAATAGAGGCTTCAGGCCGAATCGAGGCCTCACGAGCTTCACCGGGCGCCAAGAGGATAGAGGCTTCAGGCCGAATGGAGGCTTCACGAGCTTCACCGGGCGTCAGGGGAGTAGAGGCTTCAGGCCGAATAGCGGCTTCACGAGCTTCTATGGGCGTCAGGGGAGTAGAGGCTTCAGGCCGAATAGAGTCTTCACGAGCTTCAATGGGCGTCAGGGGAATAGAGGATTCAGGCCGAATAGAGGCTTCACGAGCTTCTATGGGCGTCAGGGGAATAGAGGATTCAGGCCGAATAGAGGCTTCACGAGCTTCTATGGGCGTCAGGGGAATAGAGGCGTCAGACCGAGTAGAGGCTTCACGAGCTTCTATGGGCGTCAGGGGAATAGAGGTTTCAGGCCGAATACAGGCGTCACGAGCTTCAATGGGCGTCAGGGGAATAGAGGCTTCAGACCGACTAGAGGCTTCACGAGCTCCTATGGGCGTCAGGGGAATAGAGGCTTCAGGCCGAATAGGCGCGTCTAGGGTCGCCACCACACCAGTGCGTCGCAATTCGTAGGCTGAATGGAGGCGTCACCAGCCGAGTACAAGCTTCAGGCCGAATGGACGCTTCAGGCCGAATAGAGGCTCCACGAGCTTCTATGGGCGTCAGGGGAATAGAGGCTTCAGGCCGAATAGAGGCGTCCCGAGCTTCACCAGGCGTCAGTGGAATAGAGGCGTCATTGCAGCCCCTTGGGGGAATAGCGTCTTCAAATAGCGTTTTCGGCGCCGGCTCGAACGGGGACCCCCCCGGGCCAATCCCCTGTGTATGTATA